GAGAATGAGTCGTGGGGGAGGTGTCCCCTGTTAGGCCGGGGTTCCCCCCGAATGAGCTCAAGGAACATGATCTCCACAGGACTCCTGGACCCACCTAAGCCTGCTTGAACTGCAGGCAATGTGCAAATCATGCAAGCATTTTCACCCCATCATTCAGCCCCTACATATTCAACTGATGTCAGACATGTCAACAGTGTTCTACACCAACAAACAAGTGGGAGCAAGATCTATAGAGGTTGTAAAACTTTGAAACTGGTGTATTTGCCACTGGATCACCCTGTTGGCAGTACATCTGCCAGAGATGTACAACACGTTTAGTCGACAGCCTCAGGAGATCCTTCTCTTAGAACCACAAATGGGAGCTATGTAATTCCATGGCATAGCATGCATTTTGCCATTGCGGATCCCCATCCTGGGACATTTTTTGCATCCCACCAACAGGAAGTACGCAGTCTACTGCTCCGGTGGGGTCAAGGGCAAGACTCCAGAGGAAACGCACTCCTAATTTCCTAGTCAAAGTAACTGTTGTATACCTTCCCATCAATTATTCTTAACATTAGGTTCTAAGGAAATCAGGGAGAATGGTACAGTGATCATTCTTATTGCTATCAAATGGTCCAGGCAGTTGTGTCCCCAACTTTCTTCAGATGTCAATACACACATACATCAGTTTCCAGACCTTTTGACCCAGGACAGAGGCAGAGTCAAGCATACCAATCTGGTTTCCTTCTAACTGACAGCCTGTTTTCTGGTTGGGTGTCAAACCTAAAAAATGCATGCTCTGAAGTAATTCAGCCCATATATAACAATAGTAGAAAAGAGTCCACTAGAAAATGCCACACAGCGAAGTGCAAAAATGGTTTTCAGCATGGTCTTGACAGTCATTAGATAACACTGCTCTACAGCCAAAATGCTTCTGAAAGAAATGTAGTCAAACTTTACTAATTCTGGGTCACTGAGAACGAAAATGATGCTTAAAATTGTTGATTGGCTCTAGTTTTCAAGATATGCTATTGGGTCAGTATATACGACCCTTGACTTGGGAATGGCGGAGGATAAGTGAGTTATAAAGGGAAGGGATCTCAATTTAAACCAGAAATGACTAAAATACATCTTTGACTGGATCTATGAATAAATCTATGACTGGGTTTGGATAGTACTTGCTTTTTAGGCAAAACAATGAATGATGCAATCTGAAGCTGGTATTGCGTCATACATGATATGAATTGCATCATGTTATTCCTAGAAGTCATGGATGATGCAATCCTAACGAAGCTTACATCACTCTGCTGAACAAATTGCCCTATATCAGCTCTAGAAATCATACAGTGTCGTGCTCTCTTATTTGTCAGTGTTTGATTTTGCAAATGGACACATTTCTGTTTAGCCAAAGTGAGCAGAGATGCCTCCTACTTGTGTGAACAGTGCAGATAACTTCTGCTATGTTTGTGGTGAAGTGACTTTTGCATCACAAAAGCGCAGTATAACCACTATGGTTAAGAAAGCCTATCACCTTTATTTTGGCTGCAAAATTGGAGATCGGGACAAGAGGTGGGCCCCACACATATGCTGCAACACTTGTGCAACAAATCTTCGCCAGTGGTTGAACAGGAAAAGGAAATCTATGCCTTTTGCAGTGCCAATGATTTGGAGAGAGCCAACAGATCATACCAGCAATTGTTACTTCTGCATGGTGCCTCCAGTTGGGAAAGGTGTGTCAAAGAAGAAAAAGTGGACTGTGCATTATCCAAACATTCCATCAGCTATACGCCCAGTACCCCACGCAGAAGGACTGCCGGTTCCTGATGCACCAGAATCATTCTCACTTGCGTCAGCCGAGGAAGAGGATGAAACTTCTGGTCCTGAACCATCAATGTCACAGGACCCACATTTTCTCCCATCCTCCTCTTCTGAACCACACCTCATAACACAAGGTGAACTGAATGACCTTGTCAGGGATTTGGAACTACCCAAGAGTAAGGCAGAGCTGTTGGGCTCCAGACTACAGCAGTGGAATCTCCTGGCAGGTGATGTTAGGGTTTCCATGTTCCGTGACCGTCAAAAGGATCTTGTCCCATTCTTCTTCATGGAAGGTGATCTTGTAGCCTGCAACAACATCAATGGTGTGATGGCAGCCCTCAACATCGTTCACGATCCAGATGAGTGGAGACTGTTCATTGATTCATCCAAGACGAGTCTTAAAGCTCTTTTACTGCATAATGGCAATGTTTTGCCATCAATTCCAGTTGGTCATGCAGTCCATATGAAGGAAACCTATGACAACATGAAACAACTTTTGAGGTGCATAAACTATGACTGACCAACAGTGGCAGCTTTGTGGCGATTTGAAGGTTGTTGCTCTCTTGCTTGGTCTGCAGACTGGATATACAAAGTACTGCTGTTTTCTCTGGGAATGGGATAGTCGTGCAAGAGATTCCCACTACATCAAGAAAGATTGGCCACTCCAACAATCATTGGAGCCTGGGAGGAAAAGTGTTCAGCATCCACCACTTGTTGAATCAAGGAAGATTTTGTTACCACCCTTACACATCAAGCTGGGTCTGATGAAGAACTTTGTCAAGGCCATTGACAAAACACAAGCAGCTTTCAAGTACCTCCGTGGAAAATTTCCAAAGTTAAGTGGAGCTAAGATAAAGGAAGGTGTCTTTGTTGGTCCTCAGATTCGTGAACTTCTTTGAGATGATGCATTTGATCATGCACTGCGTGGCAAGGAAAAGACGGCATGGAAAGCCTTCCAGTTAGTGGCAATAAATTTTCTCAGAAACAACAAGGCAGACAACTACAGGTTGTTGGTGGAAAACCTCCTCAAGGCGTACAAAAGCCTTGGTTGCAACATTCACTAAAGATACATTTTTTGCACTCTCATCTAGATTTTTTTCCACCGAACTGCGGAACAGTGAGCGACGAGCACGGCGAGCGATTTCACCAGGACATTGCAACAATGGAGAAACGCTATCAGGGCAAATGGAGCCCATCAATGCTTGCAGACTATTGCTGGACAGTGACAAGAGATGCTCCATTTAATGAATACAAGAGACAAGCCAAGAAGCGCCGAGTAGACACTGAATAGGACTAAACTATGTACAGAATAGTTTTTTGCCTTTTGTTTCATAATACATGTTATTTATATAACCCTTCTGCTGATTTTTAAAGTGTTACATAAACAGGACAGGTGAAATATTATCATGTAAAGCAACCATAAACACATGAAAAGACCTAGGTTTACAATTTATGATTAAAACTCTTTTATCTACACAATATACATAGACATAAAATGTAAGAACTTAAATATCTTAGAAACAGTAGCCAATCAGTTGTTTTAATTGTCATATTTGAATTCAGCACATCAAAATACATAATAAATAGCACATTTTATCTCTGAAGCAGACGACTTCTCAAAAATTGTAGACCAGTGTAATCGCAGAGGACTCCAACATGCCTACCATATTGGAATATCTTCTCTCCTTCGGACCTCGGGTCTCTCACTTAACTGCCAAGAGACCCTGTAGGGAGCTATCAGCACCTGTCATGCTCTAATTGATAACTACTCTATCTTCATCCATTTGATGATAGTACTTTTTTTGGAAGGCCTGATTTCAGAAGGCTAAAATTGCTCTGAGGCTACCTCCTAAATTTACTCCTTAAATCATCGCAGATTTTCATCTGAATCAGGCAGTCCAGCTCCCTACTTTCTTCCCAACAGCGCATGCCACTAATGAAAACCAAACGCTTCACACCCTGGACAGCCATCGAGCTGTGGCATTCTACCTACAAAAAATAAGACCATTTAGGAAGTTGCCTAGACTGTTGTTGTCATTCCCAGAATAAAGGAGAGGGGAAGTAGTTTTCTCCCAAAGACTTTCCAAGAGGATTTCAGGATGCATTCTATTGTGTACAAATTGACAGACATTCCTCCATCACAAGATGAGAGAGCTCACTGCTAGAACCCAGGTGGCCTCTGTAGACTCCCTTCAAGGTGTTCCTATTGCTGAAATCTGTAAAGTGGCTACTTGGGGTTCAGGGCATACCTTTTCAAGACATCATGAGTTAGTGCAGGCTTCTGCAGCTGATGCATTTTTCTGTACAGAAGTACTCCAGTCAGTAGTATCATAGAGGTCATCGTGCCCTCCTCCTCGATAAGCACTGCTTGTCAATCACCCACAGTGGAATACATTTAGGGACCAACACTTGAAGAAGAAAGTTGTACAGTACCGTACTTGGAGTTTTTCAAGATGTGGTCCCTATCTGCATTCTGCTACCTGCTCTCCTCCCCCTCTGCTTCAGATCTTTAGATATGACACATGGTAGAAAAGGAACTTGAGAGGCCATTGGTCCAAACTACCCCTTAGGCCCTTGGTTAGGAGCATGAGGAAGAGAAGGGCTCAAGCACAGACCAATGGACACGACTAGCAAAAATCTTCCAGTCTTGGGCACATGGAGCCACATGCTCACTCACAATGGAATACAGACAGGGACTACACATCTCAAAGAACACTAGTTACTGTATAAGGTAAGTAACTTCTCTTTTTCTAGGACTGCATCATGTGTTGTGGATGATTTATTTTTTACAGTAAGAACATTATGTCAAAGTGCTATGTAGGATGGGTGCCATCTTGATGACTGTAAACTGCATGTCCAGACAGGTTATGGATTTTATATCCATTTCAATTAATAGAAATAAACTACAGCAATCCAACCATCGTTAAATTGGAGACTTCATTGCTAAACACCCCCCCCCCCAATATTTATAAATTACAGCTTGGTGCTTTAATTCAGTCATAATGTTAACATTATTTGGCTATTGAATTTCAAACACTAAGAAAAGAGTATATTTCTGAAAAACAGTTAATTATTACATTTTTGATTGATATTTTCAGTATTAATGCAGTGGTACATCAAAAACACCAGTGATGATAAACATGGTCATAACTATGGATTAAAAATCTATTTCTCTCTCTCTCTCTCTCTCTCTCTCTCAGATGGTGACTCTCAGTCTCTCAAGGAGCATCTCATTGATGAGCTGGACTACATCCTTTTGCCAACTGAAGGCTGGAATAAACTAGTTAGCTGGTACACACTGATGGAAGGTCAGGAGCCAATAGCACGCAAGGTACGCTCTTGTGAAACTAAGATTATCCTAAATGTAGTCCTGCAGACGCTAGTGGCCCTATTGAAATCAATTGGAGTTCTGCATATTGGGAGCTCACAAAGTCTTGTCCATGATGAATACGTCAACTTAGTATTGTTTTAGTTAATACAGTCGCTTTTTTAATATTCAGATTTTAGGAATTGGCTCAATTTTTTAAAAAATGAAAAAATTTAACAAAGCTGAAGAAGGATGGGTGATTTTTTTTATTGAACTGAATCCTGTTATTTTTCTAGAAAACCTTAAACTTTAGAGGCTGTTGAATCTCATTAGTGCAAATAATCTTGTAAGATAGTGCTGAAAAATCTAAATTTTATTAGCTATGATGTAGTTTTCACAATTGTAATATAAAAAATCAGACAAGGTCAGCTTTTTATAATTGTGAATTATGAAGTGTGAATCCAGTGTTAATGGCTGTTCCAGACCTAATAAAGTTGGCACCAGTAGATCACATAATGGTTCCTCATATGTGATAAATAAACTCATAATCTCTTCTATTCAGCAAATTGTTTTTAATGGTGTCCCAGTTTTTAGCACCAAAGCACTGTTCTGCTGCCAAAAGTGAGGCCTTTGGTCCAGCTGAACTTCTGAGCACATTAGTCAGGATATGCACACCCTGCCTCCAGGCCCTGACATATCTGGGGACTGCTTGAGAGCTCATTCCTTAGGCACAGTCTGCCCAGAAAGCCTTGGCACAAACCACTCTTGTATATACTCGTACAGTATTGCTTTTCTCCCCATTTTATATAAAAGATAGCTAAGGTGTGGTCCCTTCTAATTTGGAGATTGCATTTGGATTTTCAGGACAGTGATTTCAGGCATCCTATTCTGGACCAGTTACTGAAGGTATATTAATATATTTATGCTACTGCGACCGTTTCCAAGTTGGCCAATACGAAATATCTTCAATTTATGGTAGTCACTGGTTATAATTGTAGTCTTGTTTCTGATAGTCTTCTATGGTTAAGGCTTTGACTTTTGGCACAGCAGGCCCTCACCATGACTTCAGTGACCTTGAACACCGAATTTACCAGTCTATAATGCTGACAGCTCACCTTTCATGGGCAAGTGCCAGCTGGATCTGTAGAAGAAGGCTCACGCCTTCATGGACTCCTCTCTCTTTCGTGAGAGGCATGGAGCTCAAGAAATTAAAATTGTAGTATGTAATGGAGTCAACATTTATTTATCATTACATGCTGCCTTGCCTATTATTTTGTTTTTATTTTATTTTTAAAGAAACATCCCTGGAACTTTAGTTTGTAAGAGTAAGAATACATCAGGATGGTTATTTTCAAAGACAATTATTTACCCATAATTATTAGTGTCTGAACATATACATTTCAGCAGATGAACAGTTTCTCTCCCTCCTCCCCACTTTGGTAAAGGTTCTGTAATTTTGCATTGTTAATTCTCCCTCCCCCCCCCCCCCTTTTTTTTTTTCCACCAGTGACTATTATGGGGCTGCTTAGAAGGGACTGACCAATAGAGTACCAGGGATAACATAAATGTCGAAGTAGAATAGCACAACTGCACTCTTCCGGAACTGTTAGGTTAGAGTTGCTCAAAGAGAGATTTTGCCAAGATTCTCTCAAATATGTAGACCCATTAGTGGGAACCAGATGAAATGTATCTTCATGCAACAATTACAGATACATTTTCTCTCTTTATCTTCATCGTTCCCCCCCCTACCCCCCTCATTTGTTCATTGATTTCTCTGTCCTGTTTCCTCTTTAATCTTTCTGTAAGGGGTGGGGGTGCTTTTTCTTTGATGGCTGGGGAGCAGCCTCCCCATTTGACTATTTACTTTTTCTTTTTATCCCGTATGCTTTGCAGCCATGTTCTTCACTGCTGTGAAACTTTTTGAAGCGGTGTATTCAAATTTAGATTATTATAGCAATATACGAGGTTCTTGATGTTGCCTACTGTGGCTCTTTTGGATAAAACAGCAGAGCACCGTCAATGCTATGCTCGTTGCCTTAATCTGAGGGTAAGCCGCACCAAAGCAAATCACAGTCTATATCACTGAAGCCCTTGCATAGATATAAAACCCCCAGTGTAGATAAGATTTTAAACTTGTGTTAAGATGCATTGTAGTTAAATGTGACACCAGTTGGTAGTCATTACAGCTCAAGGCTAATTGTTAAACACTGGGTGAATAGTTCATTGATGCATATTTTTCCTGTAGTGCTTGCTCTTAAGCAGGTTTGGTACAGCAGATCCCTCCTAGCGATTATTTGGTGCCTTCTTTTTTACCGTATTTGTCTGATGTATCATATATCAGGCTGATGGCTATTTTCAGAACAGTCTACATGACTAAGTACTGCAGTTACACTTTGAAGGATCAAAAGGAAATATATTTAAGAGGTGACCATGAATATTTTTTCTGGATTTTACTTTGATTAATTTGCATGTTTCCCTAGCTGCTTTACTGTTTGATAGTGTATATTGCAAAGTAAACATGTAAAGAACAAATTTTAAAGTAACTTGCATGGAAGAAGCCAAAAACTAATATATCCACTACCAGAGCATAGATGAATGACTTGGCTGGCAGTTCTTGCTTATGTACAATATTTGTTTAAAAAGTCTGTGTTATGTAATATCCAGAATTGTTAATATATTGTTATAGTAGTTCTTAAAGTTTTATTGGTAGTATAAAAGGGAATTTTTAACTGTATGTCATGGTTTAATATATGGAACTAGTAAAGAATTGTTTTTTAATATTTCAAGGAACTAACTCAGACTAAACAGATTTTAAAACTGAAAAAATTCCAATTTTATTCATGTACATTTTGATTATATGCACGCTTGTATCATAGGTAAATATATAATGTTTAGTATTAACATATGTACATATACAATTCACAGAAAAAGAAATAGTTGTCAGAAAATTCAACTTTTTCAAGTACTGAATGTTTTCTAAAAATGTTATACGAGCATTTTATTTTTGATATTTGGCATTTATAACTGGCTTAATATAATTTGTACCTTTTATGTTCATTGAGTTTTTATTAGTTTCCTAAAGAGGTTTCTAAAAACAAGTACATGTAAGTATGTGTATCTAAATATATTTAGATTCATAGCAGACACTGATCTGTTGTTTTTGGGGTTTTTTCAGGTGGTTGAACAGGGTATGTTTGTAAAGCACTGCAAAGTAGAAGTATATCTAACAGAATTAAAGCTGTGTGAAAATGGAAACATGAACAATGTTGTGACACGAAGATTTAGTAAAGCTGATACGATAGGTATGCACAATTTTCCATATTCTAGAACTGTAAATAGCTGCATTTAATGGTATTTGAGAGTATGGCTTAGATTCTGAGTTTTAGATATGTTTCTTCTACAAATTTCACAAGGATGAAAAAATAGATGAACTATAAGTATAATAGCAGTTCATTTTTTGCAAATTGTAACAAGATCAGGTTTGTTTGAGTCAAAAGTAGAATCTGATCACTCATCAAATGCTGTTTTTAACTATAATACAAATAGCTTTTACTTTTAAAAATGAAATTTGGCATTTTGCTAAATAAGATAAATAAGCAACTAAAGTAACTATGGAAACATTTTTATTTTTTGTCTTTATTGGATGCTACAGTACTGCTGCTTGATAATTTTCAGTGTGTAAAAATTATATAATGATACAGCACATTTATTTGTTTTGGCCCAGGCCTTGATGATGAATAGTGTCATGGTGATGGGAGGGATAGATACACCAGCATGAGAATGTATTGATTATTTTTGAAACATTATTGGCTAAAGGTGACTTCAAAGGGGGAAAATTATGCCCATTTTTCTTCTTTGATATATAAAGGAAGGCTGACTTTTTTTATGGTGACAAGGTGGGTGAGGTGATATCTTTTATTGGACCAACTTTAGAGAAACAAGCTTTTGAGCTCATACAGTGTTCTTCTGCATATCTGGGAAACTATCTCGGAGTGTCACAGCCAAATAAAAGGTGGAACAGATTGTTTATAATGTGTAGCTAACACACATTTCAAGAGACTGTTCAAGGTGAAGTGGCCTTTAATGCTCCTCCAGTCATAGGGAGGAAAGGAAGGGGAGGGAAAGCTGTGAGGGGTTGTTAGAAGGTGACAAATTGTTGTAATGAGCCATAAATCCAGTTTCTCTATTAAGTCCATGATTTTTAGTGTCTAGCAAAGTTATGAATTCAAGTTCCCAGGCCCATCTTTTTAAAGTGTTGTGCCTGTTTTCTTTGAGGATAAGGACTGATAGGTGAGATATAGAGTGAGTGATTTGTGAAAAATGTTCACCCACAGGTCATGTGGTAACTTCTTTATGGTAATATAAAGCCTATATCTGGTCTTGTCTACCTTAATATTGCAGAGGGACACCTACAAACAGCTGTAGGTCACGTTTTTAACATCTGTGAAACCAATTTTTGATCAATTTTATTGCTAGCTTTCATAAAAAAAATACAATTAGACTGCATGAAAGCATGTTAATTGCTTCAGTCTTATTTATGTCTGTATAACACTTTTAAATCATCTTATGTAGTTCTTCAAATGATTCTCCATGTAGATTCCACTCATGGTACATGTGCATCCCTTGTACATGGAATCTGATTCTTTTGGACAGCTGTGTCTACTGGGATCATGCCTGCTCCTCAGACGTCTTCATCCATGTGCACACACAAGGGCTCATGCATCCCTCAGTTCCTTCTTACCACCTGTGGTGCTCTAAACTGTCCACCCACTTCTTTGCTCACTGTGCTAGTATGTTTTACTCTTGCTACTTAGTTAGTTCCCTGCTGTTGACTGTGTGTGTAATATATATACACAAACACACACACTATCTATATCTATCTGTATATACACACACTATATGTATTTCTAGTTAGATTTTAGTCTTTAGGCTAGACAACCCCTGCATAATGGCTCTAGCAATGTGACACAGAAAAAATCCCTGAGGTTCAAAACTGCCCTGGTGGAAAGTATTAGTGATGGGCATGCCTGGTGCTTGTTTTGCCTAGGAGAAAGATACATTTCAAAGCAACGTTCCATATATTGCTTCCCCTCCTAAGAACTGAGAAATCTAGAGCAGTGGCTCTCAACCTTTCCAGACTACTGTGCCCCTTTCAAGAGTCTAATTTGTCTTGTGTACCCCCCAAGTTTCACCTCACTTAAAAACTTACAAAACCAGACATAAAAATACAAAAGTGTCACAGCACACTATTACTGAAAAATTGCTTACTTTCTCATTTTTACAATATAATTATACAATAAATCAATTGGAATATAAATATTGTACTTACATTTCAGTGTATAGTATACAGAGCAATGTAAACAAATCATTGTCTATGAAAATTTACTTTGTACTTACTTTGCTAGTGCTTTTTATGTAGCCTGTTGTAAAACTAGGCAAATAGCTAGATGAGTTGATGTACCCCCTGGAAGACCTATGAGTACCCCCAGAGATACAAGTACCCCTGGTTGAGAACCAATGAACTAGAGAAACCGCCTAAAGTTGTTCCTCCTCAAGCACTTAATGCAAACTTCCTCAGACACCAAAACAAAGGATGTTCCTACACCACCGTCCAGGCTACATCAGTTAAGAGGCCCTAGTCATCCACCTCTGCTGCTGACTCTCTCTGACGTGGACAGAAAGGAGCACTGCTCCAAAGATGACACAGGGCATAGGTTGCTTGTCTTAGTTTCAACCATCCAAGGGCCAAAAGAGAGAGAGAGAGGCCGCTCAGGTGCCCCAGTCCCAACTAGTAAGAAAGCATCAGTGGTACTCACTAAAGCTGTGGACTGGGTTTCTCTCAGTATAGATTCTTACGCATCAACTTTGGTAGCGAGTGTTTTGGTACCTGGAGATTCAGTACCCACCGCTTCCATATTTGTTTCCTTGGACGGTGTTCTTTGGTACACAGGCCATCGGTACCTGCTGTTTCCGAACTCCGTGCATATACAGTACTGAGTGATTTAACTGTGGGTCCAGTGGGACAACTCATGTTGTCTTGAGAGATTGAGCATGGTGATATCTAAGCCCCACCTCTGAGTTATTGGTATGCAGATGAAGGAGATACTTTCAGTACTGATTTCATCCCCTCAGAGGTGGGGCATTCCCAATAAAACAGCGCTCCCTTGGAGGATGTGTACCTCACAGTCCCATCTGGACAAAGTAGTGAGTGACCAACTACTCACCCTTCTTTACCCCCCGAAGCATAATGGGAATCAGGAAGGGTTCTAGAAGGGACAATAGGAAATGACCTGCAGCTTATAAGGAACCATCTACCAACCCTTGCCCTGCTGAATGCCCTAGTATGCAGCTGTATTCACACAAATCTGCCCCATCTGCCATTCCAGAGTTAAATCCCTTTCTCCAAAGAGTCAGTATGGACCATTCCAGCCAGATCAACTAGTGCAGCCTGAGATCATGAAAAGATAGGAGGAGGAAAGCAATGAAGAACAATGTCTGCAAAGGGAAGAACAGCTGGTCTCCACTGCAATCTCCTCATCCTCTCCTGATGAGGGAGTAAATCCCTTTACTTCTGCCTCAGTAGATGATTTTATTGCATTCCAGACATCATCAAACACATGGCAGATACACTGGATATGACACTAGAAGAGGTGCAGGAGAAATCTCGCAAGCTTCTAAATATCCTGCACTCTTCCATTCCTGGCAGGCTTGCCACGCCAATATATCAAAGACTGTGAAAGCCTGCAAAATCAACACCACAATCAATACAGGTACCAGTACTGGCCACATCAAAGCAAGCTAACACAGAAGGCAGTATGTTATTTCCAAAGGATCTGAATACTTTTATTTCCCACCCAGAAATGGGATCACTTGTAGTAATTAATCACTGTCCAGGAAAAGTCAAAACAAGCACCTCCCAAATTCACACACAGAAGGATTTGAAGTTCAGGCTCTTCAGGCACAAGGTATATTCATCTGTCAGCCTCCAGATGCACGTGGCTAATTATGAGGCCGTCCTCTCCAAATATAATTATACTTGAATTGGGATAAGTTGTCTCAGATTTTAAATGAGTTACCACAGGAACATTGAGAGGAACTAAGGACTTGTCTACACTGGCAATTAACAGCGCTGCAACTTTCTTGCTCGGGGTGTGAAAAAACACCCCCCTGAGTGCAGCAAGTTGCAGCCCTGTAAAGCGCCAGTGTAAACAGTGCCTCAGCACTGGGAGCTACGCCCCTCGTTGCGGTGGGTTTTTTTAGAGCGCGACCACACAAGGCACGTTAAAGCGCTGCTGCAGCAGTGCTTTAGCATTGCCAGTGTAGACTAGCCCTTAAAGCCATCATGACTGAGGGGCAGTTGATATCCTGTACTTCCCTGCAGTCTGTGCTTGGATATGTCTGACAGTGTGGCATATACTACGGCCACAGAGGTGGCAATGAGAAAGTCTGTCTCGCTTCGCAAGGAAGTCAAAACCACAACTGAAATCCTTTCCTTTGAGAGCAATGAACTTTTAGTTCTAAAACAGATGAGGGTCTCCGTTCACTAAAGTATGTAGGGTGGCTCTTCATTCATTGGGTCTGTACATTCCAGCCTCAAGAAGGAAACAAGCAAGGTGACAAACTTTCTTTAGGCAGTTTCCCTTCTCTGATGATGACTTCAGCATCTTCCTCACATGCTGCACATCTGGGCCTTCAACTACACAGCATGTGTGACATCAGTGTCAAGAGCTGGCAGAACCTCTTGAGGATTTTTTCTCTTTATTCTTTGCCTCAACCCCTTTGGCAACTGCTTTTTTTATTTTTGAGAAGCCTGGATTGTGATCAATGTGGACCAGTGAGTCCTGGAGATTGTAAACAAGAGGTAATCTATTCAGTTCCTGTCTCTTCCTACTCCTTACGTTTTTCCCTGTTCCTTTTCAGGAAATACTCTTAAAACAAGAAGTGGACTCCCTTCTGTGACTTGGAGCAGTGGAGGAGGACTCCTCAGTGTACAGGGGATTTTATTCCCATTATTTTCTCTTACCAAAGAAGAAAAGGGTTGGCATCCCATTCTGGACCTTTTTCTCAACAAATCAGTCTGTCTCAATTTCAGGATGGTGACTCTGACCTCCATAATTCTTTTGTTAGATCCTCAAGACTGGTTCGCAGATCTCGACCTGCACAATGCCTGCTTTCACATATCCATTCATCTGGCTAACCATACATAGCTCCGATTCCTAATAGGAATATCTCACTACCAGTATGGGGTCCTGTCTTTTAGTCTTGACACAACCCTAAGATTATTCACCAAGTGCTTGGCAGG